ACTACATATAGTCAGGCTCAGCTCAGAAATAATACCTCTTTTATACAAACTCAGCTTCGAGGGGGTTCAATCTTGTAGAACTTTCCACACAAAAGCAGAAATTTTCGATGGGACCAATCTATTCTAGACTCTTTTGTAGAAATAGGTCCTGCTCTCTTGTTGGTTACTGGAAAGGGCATAGTATCCTGATTTAACAGGGTAGGAACCATTGTCATGTTTCCACTCCCAGCAATCTCTCCGATCCTTTATTGGTTTAGGTGACTGAATTAGATTCCATAACTCCGACATATGTTCTTCTTCCCATGGGAAAATAGGCCTCCTCCAACATAGTGACTAAATCCAACTTTCATTATTCCAATACCCCATTTGAGAAATGGTCTTTGATTTGCATGAAGAAATAAAAAATAGTCTTGGAAATTTGTTAGCTAGAAGGGTATCACCCGTCCACACATCCTTCCAAAAACTAACAGAGTTGCCCTCTCCTAATTTTAGCCTAAAGCCATCTTTGAGCCATGTAATTCTACTGCAGTACAGATAGTCTAACCGACATATGTTCCTCCACCATAAAGATCCCCTTTTACTATCTTCTTCAATCCAATTCAACCAGTTGCCTCTTACAGTTCCATATTTTTCACAGATTACCCTATATAGTAGCCCTTCCTCACCCCCCGCCAGCCTACTCCACCACTTTCCTAACAGTGCAAGATTGAACCTTCTTAGGTCTTTCACCCCTAACCCACCCTCCATTTTACTTTTGCATGTATTTTCCCAACAAACCCAATTTATCTTCCTACAATCCTCATCACCCCCCCTAAAGAAAATTCCGACATATTTTATCAAGTAAGAGAATCAAACCTTTTGGAAGGAGATGAATAGCCATGGTGAACATTGGGAGACTTAACAGCACAAAATTAAGGAGCGTGATCCTTCCCCCAAGAGAGATGAACCTGTTCTTCCAACTTGCAAGTTTCTTTCTAAAAGATTCGATAATAGGTCTCCACACTGCAATATTTCTACATTTACCTCCAATTGGCACCCCCAAATATCTATAAGGAAGAACTCCCTGTTTGCAATGTAGAATAGTAGCCATTTTAGTCCTCCATTCATCCGAGACATTGATACCCATAAGCAAGCTTTTTCTGAAGTTGATCTTCAACCCTGAGACAATCTCAAACACCCTCATAATACATTTTGTAGCCCAAATGCTCTTTTCAAAGGCTTTCCCAAACAAAATCGTGTCATTAGCAAACTATAAATGGGAGACTTTCATACCACAGTGGCCAATTTCAATTCCCTCAAACAACCCATGAGATATTGCTACTGAAATGATGCCATTTAAACCCTCAGCAACTATCAAAAATAAGAAGGGAGAGAAGGGGTCACCTTATCTTAGGCCTCTATGCATCTTGAACTGTTTGGTGGTGCTGCCCTTAGTTAGAATAGAGACATCTGCCATCTTCAGACACTCATTTATCCATCCTCTCCATTTTTGGCCAAACCCCATTCTCAGCATCATATAATCCAAAAACTCCCAACAAACTTTATCATAAATCTTTTTAAAGTCAAGTTTAAGCACAAAACCTACTTTTTTTCTTTTTTTGAGCTTCATCAATAGTCTCATTTGCGATGACTACACTATCAACAAGTTGCCTTCCCCCAATAAACACCATTTGGTTTTTCCCAATAATTCCATTCAGAATTGATGATAGTCTGCATGCTAACATTTTTGCAATAATCTTGTACATAATACCAACTAGTGAGATAGGTCTAAATTCTTCAATTTTTTTTGGATTATCAACTTTGGTTATAAGTACAATGAAAGAACTATTAATTCCTCTAACCAATTTACCATGCTTATGAAAATCATTCACAAAACCCATTATGTCATCTTTGAGCACCTCTCACATTACCTTGATAAATTTAAAGTTGAACCCATCTAGGCCTAGCACCTTTGAACTCTCACAACTCCATACAACTTTCTTAATTTCCTCCTCATTAAATGGTTCTTCCAACATTGCCCCCTCCTCCGCTGAGAGTTTCTTAAAATCAATCCCATCAAGCACTGGCTTCTGCCAATCTTCTTCTTTAAACACATTTTCAAAATAGTTGGCCATCCCTTCTTTAATTTCATTGACTTCTTCCAGTTACTCAATGCCCACCTTGATACTCATTATCTCATTCTTTCTTCTTCATCCTTTCACACATCTATGAAAGAATTTTGTATTTGCATCTCCTTCACAAATCCAGATCTTTCTAGCTTTTTGACGCCACATGCTTTCCTTGATCCTTTGATTTTTCCATAAATCCAGGAAGCTTGTTCTTCTGACCTCGATATCTTCTGCAGATAGTGACAGTACTTCACCTTTTATGTTGATATTAGCAATGGAATCAATGTTTCTTTGAATGTTCAAGTCTATCTGTGACACCGTATCTTTGCTCCAAACCTTTAGTACCCTCTTTGTTTTTTTCAACTTTTCCTTTAGTCGATACCCATTCCAACCATTAATTGCTGTTGACTCCCATACCTCACCCACCATATCTTTAAACCCAAGGAACTCAATCCATGCATCAAAGAAACGAAAGGGATTGGGGCCTCAATCTGTTATTTGATTTGTAAGTACTATTGGACAGTGATTAAAATAGGAACGATTCAGGCCCCATTGTTTAACATTCTCCCATTTCAAGCACCATTCTTCTGAAAGCAAAAATCTGTCCAACCTACTCATCGTAGCTCTATTAGATTGGTACCAAGTAAAATTTCTACCTATTAAAGGCAAGTCAACTAAGCCACAATCATTAATAAAATCATCAAACTCTACCATCTCTCTTCTAATAGTCCTTCCTCCCTTTCTTTCCCGCTCATTTCTCACTGCATTAAAATCACCCATTAAGCACCAATTCTCCCCAGTTTTGGTGATGAGATTTTTAAGGGCGGTCCATAAAGCCCTCTTTCTAGGTAATTCACAAAGGGAATATATGTTAATGATATTAACAAGAGTCTTAGATGTCCCCCAAAAACCAGAGACCCCAATAAAATTTTCACCTTCAATAATTCTATCCTTTTCTAATAAATAAGAGTTCCAAATACAAATCAAGCTACCAACCATAACTTTTGAAGGTTGAGCAACCCATTCAAAATTATCCGATCCCCATAAGGCTGTACATAGTTGAAAGTCAACCAACTCTGTTTTGGATTCCTGAATTGATAAGAATTCCACCTTCTCACAAGTCACTAGTTCTCTAACCCCTTTTTTCTTCCCATCTCCACCCACGCCTCTAACATTAGTTGACATAAAAATCATTTTAATTCTGCACTTCTGTTTCCCCTCGAGCCAGCCTCTTTAGCCACTGCTCTTCTATACTACTCTTTGTCTCTTTCCTCCATGGCATTTAGCTTTTGCAAGACCTCATCTTCATTCCCTTGAGCAACAACACCAATTTCCTTAGCAAAGCTCCAAATTCGGTCTCCATTGGTTTTATTGACCTCAAAGCGCAGACGTCTATTCCTATTTTCAATACCGCCGTCTACAATTAACTCATCTGCTATCTGGTTTTGGTCACCTGAGTAGAATCTTGGCATTAGCTCTTCCAGTTTTCGGTTTTTCTTTGACTTATTGCAAATCCCCTCCATAGATGGCTACACCACTCTTCTGGAATTCTTATATACTACAGAGCAAGATCTTGTCTTTTTCACCCTCTGTTTTTTAAATCTCGCCTCTCTTCTACCCATCCAATCTTTCAGCTTCCTTGATTCACTTTCAAAGCCTTGCCAAAAGGAATTTTCCACGCTGCTTATCTCTATTTGAACCAAGTCCCTTTTACAACTTCGCTACTCTTGAACCTTCACCAATAATCTGCCTTCATTTTCTCTTTCCATTTCACTGTCATGCGTCCTATATCCCTCCTCTAGGCCCATAGTTATGGCCCAGTCTTCCCCCTCATCCAAACAATCTTGACAAAAAGGCCCGGATACCTCCCCTTGATCTTGCTCTTTAGGTATAAGTGGACTAAAAAGCCCACTTGAGTCACCTTGCACATTATTTGAATTTTGTTTTTGACTCTTCATTAAATGCTCACTCATGCTATCAGGCACATAGCCTATATCTTCTGTCGTCTCCCCTTGATTAGTGATAAGAAGGTTTTGATTTTTTCCAATGCTTCTAGCTGTGCAGTCTTCTCCTGTTTGTTCTTTGGAACCATCATCCCTCATCATTTTTCCTTAGCACTCTTAAATTCAAATTTGTTTCCTATAGCCATTGCCACCTTCCTATAGCTCTCCATTCATTTCTCATCTTGCCCTTACCCGTGGGTAGATTCCACATCAACCTCAGCCTCCACCTCACTGCCTCTATCCATGTCGTCATCATCACACTTGTCATCTGTGTCCTTCCATCTGCCCCTAGCCTAGTCTCAACCGTGAACGGATTCACCACAAGCACCCTTAATCTCACTATGTAAGGACCAAGATTCTGAGCTAAACTCATCTAAGGCACTTAGCTCTTTGAACACATGATCGGACTTCATAGAAAATATGCCATTGGTGGCCTTTTCCTCCATTACCTTAATCAAGTATGGCTCCCCATTAACTTTGATTTTCATAGATTTCGTGATGAAGCTCATGATTTGAGTAGAGATAAATATACGCCCTATGTCAAAGCGTTTCTTTTTGCTAGTGCTGTCATCTAAGAAGATAAATTTCCCCCACACAGTCCCTATTGTAGCAAAAAACTCTGGCCCCCAGGCATGAATCGGGACACCTTGACAATGAAGCCACACGAACCTCTCTCTAGGGACCATTGTTCGGTCTCATGGTTTTACATCCTCAAACCACAGCCCCAACCACTCCGGTACTATTTCGGCCAAATCCTTGATCTCATCCTGATCACTACCCTCTAATAAAACCAATCGTCCTCCCATTGGTCTTACCTTACAAGAGAAATACCCTTCCATGAAGAATTCTCTTGCAATGTCGGTATCATTTCCATTGAGTATATAGTTCCCACGTAACAGCCTTTTAGCCAAAGGAAATCCTCCTCTTTCGCTGTGAACTCCAAACCATCACTTACACGATCATCATTCTTCACCTTCCATATTCGTGATGTAGCTTTGGGCCAATCACCTTTTTGCTACATATTTTGATCGAATCCAACATCCATTACAGGCTGTGGTTGTTTCATTTTATTAGCTATCATCCTGTGATTTCCTTTCACAACCTCTACACAGGATCTCCATGGTTTAATGTGATTCTTCTCAACTAGCCTTTTAACAACTCTGCTTCTTTGCTCCTCTTTCTTGAACCTTGGTCTGTTAACCCACAGTTTGGATGCCTCTACTGTGATTTGGTCCAGTTGGCGCTCCAACACAACCTCATCCTTAACATCTAAGAATCTTACAAAGCCAAATCTCCTTCCTGACTTTGATTTCCTCAGCGGGCTGTAGATATCCAGGACTCTACCATATTTGTGAAAAGCATACCACATGTCTTCATAACTCTAGTCATCAGGGAAATTAGTAAAAAAAACACTGATGCCTGATTGTACACCCTTCTGTCATATCCCCACACATCCTGATTCTTCCTTAGCCTTTTGGTTAGAAAGTTTTGAAGTTGCTCTTCTCGATACCCTCTCTGGATTGTGGAAAGCTCCCAGTTTCGTGCCGTCTGCCGTCCATGTGCTCTGTTGCTATCCCAGCCCACTCTATCTCTACCTCTCATTCTCGCTCTTCGTATTGTTACGGGGGCTAAATCTTTACTCAAAAAAAAAATTAACTTTTACTCATACAATATATATATATTACCTAAAACAATATACCTAATTCAAAACATACACAAAGAGTGTAGTACTTTTACCTATGGTTAGGCAGAAAGCGATTATGTATTGTCCAACTTATAGTCGAAGGAACTCTACCCTACTCTTTTTTTTTTTTTCCTTTTTTTGAACTAAAGCTCAATCAACTCTACCTTACTTTTAAAATTTTTAGTAGGAGCAAAACCTCATATTAAAGTTCATTTTTTCACAACATGATTATCAATCACATGTCCGTTGTTACTATTTTTAAGAGGGATAAGGGGGTCTTAGATCTAGAATAGTTTCTACATATTTTAATAGGTTAAATGCCTTTTTTGGTCCCTCTACTATAGGAAAAAGCCTTTTTTTGGTCCCTGTAACGAAAAAATTCCCTTTTTGGTCCTTACTGTTCACAAATC